GCCCAGCGCCTTCGGGAAATCCGTTCCTAATCCCAGGGCTCCGCTGCCCGCCCCGAGGAATCAGGCTGGCACACAAGGCAAGGTGCCCAGGTGATGGGCACGTACCCGCCACGTCCAAATCCCTCCTGGACACACCGAAATAACGCTCGTCCTCCAAAATTCATGCGGCCATCACGTGGCAGGGGGCTGCCAGGGCCACCCCACAGCCCAGCATCTCTGCTCCCAGCCGGGGCCGAGCCACCCACAGCCCAGCATCTCTGCTCCCAGCCGGGGCCGAGCCAGCATCCCACCTCCCACCGCTCTCCTGATGCTCCTCAGCAGGGCTCACGTCCCTCAAAGGAGCAAGAGGAGCTGTCACGTCCCCTGCAAAGCCCCTTCCAAGCTGGGCAAGGGGTCAATAATTTCTGGTCACCAAATTCCTCCGTTTTGGTGCATTTTGCACTGCACCGGCAGGAAGCTCCGGGGTTGCCGCTCACCACGGCGCGGCTCCAGCTTCGGTCGGCTCTGTGGGATGTCTCGACCTTGTGAAATAATTCCCACCGTGTGGCAAGACCGAAACTCATCTACCCGAGGGCAAAATGAACCCCGTACCAACGACGCCAGGAACCTGCCCCCCTGCGCGGGCTCTTCCCAAAGTCGGGAGGCACCGGGAGAGCCAGGTCATTGTGGACCGTCCCCGGCTCCCCGGGGCGGGCAGCATGCCGGCAAGCCCCTCTCATTTCAAGGGAAAAATCAGTATTTATGGATTTCCAAACGATTTCCAAGCGCCGCTAGCTGACACGTGGGCATTTCTCCGCAAAAGTGCTGGAAATCTCAGGCACCTCCTGAAGGATCCCCATTAGGAGGCTGCAAGTAAACACCAACAGACAGAGTCAAGGAAAAAAAAGAGGCAGAAAATGAGTCACCAGAGCAGATTACTCATATCCGAGCAGAGTCATGCTTTAGGTACATGTGACAGGGGAGCGGAGGAGCCCGGCTCGTCCCCCGGCCGGCCGGGGACACGGTGGCCCCGGGGCAGGCGAGAAGCAC